AGATGTGTATAAGAGACATTTATAGGCCTATATATATATAATATGTATAGTGCAAATCTTCTAATGTTGTTTATTTGATTTATTGTAATAAATGCAGTGGCGGATCCAGGGGGTTCAGGGGGTTCGGGCGAAGAAACGTGAAGAAACGTAACAAAATAATATGGGTCCTGGCTTACAAAATTCATGCTAACTAGACGCGGATCCAGACCTTAGCCCACTTCGCCCAGGCGAAGGTCAGGGTGAGAATTCAAAATAAAATGTTGACCAATTTTCCAACAATCATACTTACTTTCCTTGACACTTATTTTTAACATTACCATTTGGAAAATGTTTAAATCCACACTATCCTATACTTTACACTTTTAAACTGATTGTACAGGCCCTACCACAGAGAGAGAGAGAGAGGTACATTTCCAATACATTATGGTCTTCCACTTCTATAGCGCATGATACAATGCATAGCAAACGTTATGTAACCATTAATAATACTTAGGTCCAGTGGCGTAGGTATGGACAGTGCAGTCAGTACACAGCACTGGGGCCCGGGGCTATTGGGGGATCGTTCAATAGGTCTAATGATCTAAAAATATAACTTCAAAAAAAAATCCTATTTAAACTTTAAAAGGACGCTTCAATAATAATAATAGGTTTTAGATGCGGTATATATTATTATATTCATTACAATTTACCTATTACCTATTTCCCAAACGCTGCAAGTAAAAAAACAACAACAAAACAAGCACTTACGAATACGATGCACTACTTTTTTGAAATCACGTTTCTAAAGCAATAAAATATCGTCACGCACATTTGTGTTTGTGGTATTAAAGTTGATTGAACTATTATTGTGTACGTTTTTAAACACTTCAGATCATCATAACATCATGAATACATTTCAGATTCAATTCACTGCAAGTAGGTCGATGACTGTTCTATTATTGAATGGTGTATGTTTCGTGACGATAGACAATACCTGGATTTGCTTCAGGATAATCAATTAGGGGGTTTATATGTATTTTGCCCAACCTGTCGTGATAATAGATTGAATACTCAGTGCGTGATTCACTATATACTTTTATAAATCACATTTCTAAAGCAATAAAATATCGTCACGCACATTTGTATTTGTGGTATTTTAAAGTTGGTTCAACTATTGTGTACCTGGATTTGCGTTAGGGGGCTGTTATGTGCAATTTTGCCCAACCTGTTGTGAAAATGTACTTAATATTCCATGCGTGTGAAAAAACTTGCAAAAAATGCTCTCGGCCTATACTTACTACTATTATTGAATGGAAATTGTTATTATCGTGATGGAATAAACAATCAAGGGCGTCGATTCGTGGTTGAAAGTGGGGTGGGGGAGGGGGAACGGGGGGGGGGGAGAGGACGAAATGAAGCCTAGGTTGGGTACCAGGGGGCAGGGACGTATCCAGGGGGAGCCGTAGGAGCCGCGGCTCCCCCACCCTTTGTACACAGTGTTAAAATTTTATAGCTTATTCTTGAGCCAATACAAATTCTTTCCTGGGATCACTCAAAATGAATACTTCTAAACATGTAAATATGCATCAGGTACACGTTATACATAGGCCTAATAGAA